TCGCCTAAGAAGCTACAAGAGACCAACAGTATTGAGTTGGCTGGAAAGGATTTCGCTTATGATGGTGAGACAAAATTGTTAACTATTAGGTCTCTCCTGAAGCATGAGTTCACTATTGTACTTGAGGATGCCATATCAAAGAGAAACAATGTGAATGCAAGCCATGATGGTAATGACAACCCAAATGAGTGTGAAGGGAAGAGAGCGATACACTTATAACTCAAATACGTTTAGAGTAAAGATAAGTTTTGCTGCCAAGTACTCTGTGAGTACAAGAAGCCGAGAACTCACAAAAATCACTGAGGGTGCTTGATATAATTTCAAGGCAGCATGCCCTCTTGTTCATCAGTCTTTTTTCCATGATAATCAGAATAATTTTACAGACACTGGAGGAGGTACCCTTGGCTGTAGAAGTTTTCGTTTAAACTTCCAAACCACGTAAGGAAACCTTTCATTGAATATTGATGTGTCAACTACGATGATGATTCAACAAGTTCCAGTAGTTGATCACCAACTAAAATGCAAAAGAGTCTTACTCTGTCGAGTAAACCAAGGCTAAAAGATCACTTAAGAATCTATGGATTAAAATTGACATATACAATCAGGAGTGCAAGATCACTGGATTGAGTCAACAAATGAGCAAATGTCAGATATTTTTTATGAAGGCATCAGTGCTAGGGCATGATCGATTCCAAGGACAAGAGTCAATTCAAAAGTCATTACGGTTCAGTTTAACTCAACGACGAGTGGCTAGTTTCTAGTTAAAGTTTTCAAGCTAGATTTCAACTCCATGACGGATGATATTCGACTGACATAATACCTCACTTGGTTTTCTCGCAAAGAGGAGTCACTCGAAGAACATCTCACATGGCCTGCTCGTAAAAGGGGAGTCATCTGAAGAGCATCTCACCCGGTTCAGACCCGCGAAGGGGAACCACCTGAAGAATATACCACTTCGCTTTTCCGTGAAGTGGAGTCACACGAAGAATCAATATCGACTTAAACCGTGAAGGGGAATCGTTTCAACTTTTTTTGTTGTTTTCCTTGCAACTTTTAATTAACATCAAATTGATCCTTAATTCTTTTCAATTTATTCCTTTTTTTATTTGAATTTTCCTTCTTTATTTTTTTTTATTTAATATTTATTTATTCATTTTATTTATTTTACAGTTTAACATTAATCTGATTTATTTCTAGGTCAATTTTAAATTCGTCAAATGTAAGTAATTCAAATCGAACTTTTAAATTTTAATTTTTACAATTAAGACAACCGAGAAATTAAATTTGTATCGAAAGGCAGTAAAAATGTGCTAATCATTCCTTAATTGTAATCGACTCCCGAACTCGATTAATTTTTGGTAAAACGAAGATCCGACAAATGTTAGGTTAAGGTGTCCGATCAACCTAATTTTAAATGATCGGTTCCAACACATTAATTCAAGTCGGAATCCGATTCCGGGATCACCCGAGGGACGGTTACGACAATATACTATATAGAATCGAGAGATTCGACTCAAATTTAAAAATAATCTACTAATTAATAAAAAAATTGAGTTATTCAAATTACTATTTGATTATTCAAGTTTTATTTTATAATTAGATTTGAATATAATTTTTTTTAAATCAAGTCGAATTTATAAAATTATATCAAATTAATTAGAATCTAAATATAAAAGATCAATTTTTTAAATCTAGTAATAATTTTATTCGACCCTACTTTCTTTAATGCAACAACTGACTGCATTTATTATAAGTCACTCCTTTTTCCAGAAAACATATATGAGGAAGCTTCACTGTAATTCTGGGTTCCATAATTTCAAATACTATATTTTTTATCTGGCAAGATAAAAAGTTAAAAAAAAATGGTGGGTTTGTCGATGTCTACCTGACCCTTCGCACTTTACAAAATGGCCCATCAATACAATCCACCCCTTTCCTCATTAAATAATCAAAATAAAGTAATTTATTTTCATCTTTTACAACACAAAGGGGTTTGAATTTGGAGGGTTTTGCTTGGAATTGATAAAGACTCGAGAGTTGAAGCACTTTATCATTTTTGCTGCGGGTATCAAACAAAATTAAGGTTTTATTAAGTGATTATAATATATTTATTTATAATTTTAATTATTAATAACATATATATAATCTACAAATATAATTATTCGAATCTAAACCTTTAAGATAGAACAATATTCTCTTTAATTATCGAGTCTACTAAATGAATTAACAAAACCGAAGTTTTTCTTTGACAATTTGAAAACTTACCCACATTTTGTTTTATATATTTGTAAGGATTAAAGTACATTAAATGCCATTGAATTGATTGAGTTTAACTTTTGATATCATAAAATAATAATTAAATTTATCAAAATTTTTAGATTTATTATAATATTTTAATAAATATTTTACAATAATAACAAATTTAATGATTATTTTATACTTCTTAAAAATTTAGTAATTAAAACGATTGGAAATGATTAAAAGTTTTGGTTTTGGTGTCGGTTGTGATATTCTTTATTTTTTCTCAATAATTATGTCTTTGTGATATATATATATATATATATATATATATTTTTATGGTATGTTTTCTTATCTTTTAGTACATTTGGATATTTTCTATCAGTTGTTTAATTGTTCTTTTTGTTTAACTTTCATAGGGTTATATATGACATTGTCTCGACTGATTAAGATGTCACGTATTTGTTATCATGCTGATTTTTTATATTTTGGTTATTGAGGTTGAATTTGGATACATAATTTGTGTTCGGAGATCACAACATTGAAAATGCGTTGCTATTGTCGATAGTCTTTTAATAATTTTATTTCTTATTGTGGTTCATTTATCTACACAATCAGATCTATTCATATTGATATTTTATTCGAGTTTTTTAATGTATTTTTTTACTTTTTTTATATAATCCTCATATAATTTCAAATGGCTAGTTTATTATGTAATGATGGAAAGAAAATATATAAATTATGTATTTAGTTTATTATTATAATTATAAAATTTTTATTTTTTTACTTTAAAAAAAACTAACGGATTCTATTTTCATCAACAAATTTGTTTCTTAGATAAAACTGTAAATAGACAAAAAGATAAAGTACAATCTGATAATTAAAAAAGTACAAGTGCAAAACTGAAAAATATCCATTATAATATTCCCTCAGTTAGCAACCACTGACACTGAACGACAAATGAACTATGTATTTATTTTTCACAACTAAGCCAGCCCATCCCCCCCTTTGATCATTACATTATTTTCTCTGGTTCTTCACCAACAACCCTAACGAAAAGTAAAAAGAATTCACCTCGTTGTATAGGGAATCATCATCTGGCAATTCCCAGCAGATCATAAAAAACAAAGAACAAAACAAAATCCAGATTTAACTTTTAAGTCATTTCTAGCCCTAGTCTCTATTCTATTTTAAAAGATGAAAAAATAATTTATCTCCAACGTTATTTTTATATTACTATCAACTTTACTTTATTCATAATATTTAACTATTATAATATTAATTTTACTCCGTAATGGAGCAGCGTTGGAGATGGTCTAAGCCTCTAACCCACTTCAGCAATGGCCACAATCTCCATTTCCAAGTACCTCTTCACAGTTCTTATCTTTTTCCACTTTAAAGTATTGGCTGTAGAACAAAGCTCCTCCTTTTCCTTCAACAATTTTAGTAAAGATCCAAACTTTGAGTCTACTATTGCTTTATATGGGGATGCACATGTTGCTCAGCGATTAAACTCACAAATTCGGTGAAATGGAGTGCTGGGAGAGCCATGTATAAGAAAACCATCAGGTTTGTTGAAGGTAAAGCCAGGAACTTTGCTTCTTTTTCAACGTATTTTTCTTTCTCAATGTCCCATGAGAATGGTAATGGCTTGGATTTTGTTATGGTTCCTAGGACTTTTGATGTTAATGTAATGAACAATAGTTCGTTTGGGGTTTCTTTTAATGAAAACCATGTAGGGATTGATGTGGGTAGTCTTGTTTCAGTTAAAGTGAGAAATTTATCATCTGTCAATGTGGTATTAAACCATGGAGAAAAATTACATTCTTGGATTGATTATGAGGTAACATCAAAGAGATTAGAGATTAGGTTGAGTCAAACTAGTAGTACCAGGCCTAATGATCCATTGTTTTTGCACTCGATCGACTTGTCTAAACTGTGGAACGATGAGGAAGTGTTCGTGGGCTTAAGCTCTTCAAACGGGAACTGTTCACAAACAAGCTTTATTCACTCATGGAGCTTTAAGCTAAGGCCGGTTCCGAATTGGATGCATTCTCAGCCACTTCATCGCCTTTAACATCACTCAAGCGCAGCAGTTGCTTTTTGGAAGTGTTTGTTATGTTCATTTTCGGTTGTGCATGTGGCGTAATGACAGCTTCTTGCGTGCTATATCTACGGACCGTCCTTGGTGGTAGGCGTCCAGTAGTGCCTGAATAGTGCAGTGTGCACCCTGTGGTTTCTGAGTACAAGAAAGTCGATTTAGTAGTAGAGAAAGTTGTCAAAGATGACGAGAAATAGATGACTGATTTTGTAAATCGATGGTTTTCTTTTGGTATTGTAGTTGCAGGTTTGTGTGTACTTTTGAGTTTGTAGCTGATGACCAATTGTGAAATATTTAGCTCTTTGTTACATTGTGTTAAATGATTTAAGCATTGAGATTTACCAATAATATACGTCTTTGTTGCCTTATGGTTGTTTGTGCTTCGTTTCGCTGTGAATTAGTGAAATTTGCAGAACCGGGAACAGTATGAGCTGTTATAAGGCTCCATGTTTAGTACATTGAATATTTGTATGATAGACTGGGATGTATGACATTGGCACTTGAAGTTCGAATATTGAAATAACATGGCTGGAATTATTAATATTGAAATTCAACATTCATATTGGCATAAATAAACATGTCCAGATTAATCTATTCTTTTGCCAGAGACTGGCAATTGGTAGTTTATTTTAGCATCTTTTACATAGGCCGAAGAACAGAATCATTCTTCGTCATATACGTCTTCCTCCTCGTCGGCAGTTGCATCTTGGTACTGCTGGTTCTCGGAGACCAGATCATTCATGTTGCTTTCAGCCTCTGTGAATTCCATCTCGTCCATACCTTCGCCTGTGTACCAGTGCAAGAAAGCCTTTCTCCTAAACATAGCTGTGAACTGCTCACTCACACGTCTGAACATTTCCTGAATCGAAGTCGAGTTACCGATGAATGTCGATGCCATTTTCAACCCATTTGGGGGAATATCACAGACTGTTGACTTGACATTGTTTGGGATCCATTCCACAAAGTAGGATGAATTCTTGTTCTGGACATTGAGCATCTGCTCATCAACTTCCTTTGTGCTCATTTTTGTTGGGGACACTCGGTGATTTATAAAACTCGAACTTCTATTTATACGAAATAAAATATTTTACACGAGCTAAATTTGGCACAAGAAGAACCAATTACAATCTATGTCGACAACAAGTCTACAATTTCTCTTACCAAGAATCCAGTCTCCCATAGACGAAGCAAGCATATTGATACAAAGTATCATATATACGAGAGCAAGTGAAGAACAAAAATGTGGAGTTAATTTACTGCAGAACTAAAGATCAACTAACATATATTTTTACAAAACCATTGAGAGCAGATATATTCAACCGACTCAAAGAAAAGCTCGGAATGAAAAGTTGAGATTAAGGGGAGTGCTGTAAGTCAAACTCAATTTAGAATTGTGTAGAAGTTTTCAACGTGGCAATGCACTAATATGTCAAGTCCACCTCCCGAAAGAGTTGTTTTTGTTGACACGTTTTTTCCCTTGATCCTCTCACAACTTGCTTCATTGTAATAAACATTGATCCACTCAAGTTGAAGATCAGAGTCCCCTTGGCACTTCCCGGTCGAGTCGATGCCGTGTTCGGCACAGACCACTTCCCAGAACTTGGCACCGATTTGGTTGCCGCATTGGCCTCCCTGTATGTGAAGTATTTCACGCATTATTTCCGATCAAAACACTCGAAAAGAAAGCAGATATTACAAGGAAATAATCGACTAGTGAATGAAGAAAAAGAGAGTATTAGAGAGGAAGAAGGTGGGGACGGAGGGAGCTTTATAGAAAAAGATAATGGGGTTAAAAGGTAAGAAAATTGTGGGTTTATTTTTTTGAATTTTGAATGACTAAGCGGGAGGAGGAAGGTCCTTCTTTTCCGAAAGGTAATAAAGTAACGCTCAGATTCAATTTCAATAACCAAAATGAGACAAATAGCTGGATTGCATTGGATTATTTATTTGAACCAACCAAAAACAGATTAGATTATGGTGTCATGATGTAGAATTAGAGCACCAAGTGTTCACATGGTAGCCAGCCAATCCCGGGTGCAACAAACACATGGAAACCAACATATTTCCAGTACAGCTTCATCAGTGCACATGGTGAAGAATCAAACTCCAATACTCCACAGAAAGTGCAGACCAATGATCCGTCCAACTCAACTTCCGGTGCAGCAGAGGTTAGTAAGATCGAAATAGGGTTCTCCTCGACATGCAACGGCACATGGTTCCCAGAGTTCCTTGTTTCGCTTATTCGATTGCACTATCCGCGAAAATGACAGTATCCCAAAGCATTATCTAAGGCATTGAAGCTGAAAAACTACTGGAGTGCAAAGGGAAGAGAAGTAAAAACCCTTCAAGAAAGCTTGGAGTAAACCAGAACAACTAACATATTATAGATATTGATCCAATGCAAATTCAAAATAAGTGCTACGGACCGACATATTCCCCTAGTAACTATTCTGCAAATCGTATCCCAGTGATCAAGTAATCCATGAATGATGAACAAATCAAGTTCGATGGAATAACTCTTTAGGTATATTAACTCTCTTGTAATTGGACTGAGAGACATGGTGTTAACTACTCACAATCTTCTAATGCTACTGAAAACTTTACCAGAAAGAGATACGCATAGGTAGTCAACATGTTATGATAGTAAGATTGAATCTTAGCATGAAGCAGTATCATCATGGATTCGATGCAAGCAATCATCTCACCAACAGTTATAACATGAATTAGCACCCGAGGGATTTCGATTTTAACCGATGAGCCGGATTGTGTTCACGTCATTTCCTTTCTGGCATTATGTTCGTACATGCATGCAACAATTATCGCTCTGGTGCAAAAGTTCACTTTTTGTAATAAGTTCTGCAAAAATTGAGCCGTCTCATTAACTTTGATAAAACTAATGAACAAGTACCAGAGTTATACAATCATGATTCATGAATACATTGAACAGCATCAGAGCAAAAGATATATAGTCCATATTCGTTTCGAGATGTAAATAAAATATCTCATCTTTACTCCTGAAATTAGCTTGACGTGTAGTAATCAAATATGAGGACAACAAAGAATCAAAATAGAGTTAAAAGATGGGACTTTTTCTCACCTGTTACACGAAAGTTGCAAAACGACAGCCGATTTCAGCTCGATGGGCCATGTCAGGTTCAGGAAAAGGCAATACTTTTTGATCTAACGGATAAGATCGTCCTTTGCCTACGCATCCACCGAGCAGGTGTATCCGTTGGATATGTCTTTTCCTTCATTACATGACCCGAAAATTAAGACCCAAAAGAAACGACCCGATAAAGTTTATAAGTTCAAGGACAAAACCCCATGGATAAACCCTACAACATTTGAAACAGAAACTATGGCTTCACTTCTTCAACCTCCTCACTCTTTCTCACTGTTCTTGAATTCCCCGAACCCAAGAATTCAGTTTCTAAAATCTTCCAAGTTTGTAGCTTTAACAAGGGCTTCGGTTGAAACGAACGGAGCCATTGAAACCCCAAAACCAGCTCGTCGAGGCAGGAAAAAGAAACCAACATCATCTTCCCCAGAAACTACAACGAAAAAGAAAACAGGGGGCGGGAGAAAAACCCTGACTGAAAATGGCTCGGTCGAATCTGAAAGCGAGGGAGAAGAGGAGGAGCTATGGGATTTCGACGATGGCATGGATTTTCCGTACGAAGAACCTCCTTTGATCTGCTGCTTTGGCGCTGCACAAAAGGAGTTTATACCCACGGTTCGAGTGAACGAAGAACCGATGCACCCGGATAAATACTCCACCTGGAAAATGCTGCAATGGGACCCGCCAGAGTTCGGGAGAGCTCCAGGTGGGCCACCATCCAACGTGGCGATATCCCACGTTAGGCTCGGAGGGAGAGCTGCGTTTATGGGGAAAGTTGGGGCTGATGACTTTGGCGATGAGCTTGTTCTGATGATGAATAAAGAGAAAGTGCAAACCAGAGGCGTCAAGTTTGATCAGAATTTAAAGACTGGGTGCACTTATATGAAGGTTAAGTTTGATGAGAATGGGAAATTGAAGATTGAGACTGTTAAGGAATCTGCCGAGGATTCTCTTCTTAGCTCTGAATTGAATCTTGCTATTCTCAAAGAGGTAACTTTTAGAATATTATAGGAAAATTTCCGAAATTTGTTCTTGGAACATTTTATGATGATGTCAAATTGATTAGGCTTATATTAGCATTTCTGTAGTTAGTGTACTTTTCCTGTTAATTGATTAGTTGATGCTTGATAGCTTTGAGAATATATGAATCTTTGATTCTCTTAATGTGGAAACCAGTTTCGTCTAGATGATTGAAGTGGATCATATGGTTGAATTGTGTTTCGTGATTGAATGTGGATGTTTTGGTATCCAACATTAATGCAGGCTAGGATTTTCCACTTCAATTCAGAGGTTTTAACATCTCCTTCAATGGAATCTACACTTTTTAAAGCGATTGCATGGTCTAAGAAGTTTGGGGGGCTTGTATTTTTCGACTTGAATTTACCGTTACCTTTGTGGAGATCGCGTGATGAAACGAGGGAAATGATCAAGAAAGCCTGGAACAAAGCAGACATCATTGAGGTTTCAAGGCAAGAGCTGGAGTTTCTACTGGATGAAGAGTATTACGAGAGGAAGAGGAACTACATGCCTCAATACTATGCTGAAAGTTTCGATCAAACCAAGAAAAGGCGAGACTACTATCATTATACGCCTGAGGAAATCTCTCCGTTGTGGCATGATGGACTTAAATTCTTGTTTGTGACTGATGGAACACTCAGAATACATTATTATGCACCCTCATTCGATGGTGTGGTTGTTGGAACAGAGGATGTGCTAATAACACCGTTCACTTGTGATCGAACCGGTTCTGGTGATGCTGTTGTAGCCGGTATTATGAGGAAACTGACCACTTACCCCGCGATGTTTGAGAATCAAGACGTCTCAGAGAGGCAGCTCCGCTTTGCGATTGCTGCGGGAATCATATCGCAGTGGACAATTGGTGGTGTTAGAGGCTTTCCTACTGAGAGTGCTACACAGAATCTGAAAGAACAGGTTTATGTACCTTCGATGTGGTAGTTTAGAGGCGGAGAACGCAATATCAGAAGTTTACTGTTTTTTCTAGTAGATTATAAAGCTTTGTATCTGATGAATATTGATGAGAACTAATGAAAAGAGGCAGAGGCTGCATGAAATGTATGCGGCTTAGGTCTGTTGAATTCTTTTAATTCCATCCAAGCCTTCAGAACTTGTAGAAGTGTAGGTAGGTGAGGGATGGATTACGCAATATGTTGTTGTAATTGAATTGTATTTTCTGTAATCAGATGTTCTCCATTTAAGATCCAGTATTTATCAGAATGTTGGCATAATTGTTAAGGAAAGTGCATGTGTATAGGTACCGGAGAGCGGAGGCTGCCAAACGATAATTAAATATACGGTATTATGTTCCATCAGTTTTTGACTAGGCATCTGCCATTGATGAACCTCTTTTTCTATGGCTTGAACAGTTCCAACTCTTCCTCGGTTGCCAAATTCGAATGAGAGAGAAGGCCTTTGGGTCGGATATTCTGCACGGAAGATTGTGATGCTACTGCTGCCATAGATTTCTTGTGTAACAATGTAGACAGGCGTGCCGGAAGTGTCGTGGTTTGCCTTGGGAAACACGGCTGCCTCTCTAGGGGTCATTGGTGATCGGACATCCCCATTGACCACCTATCTTCACCATCTCTTTGTCCTTCCAGTGTTTAACACGGTACCTCGTAACCGTGAGTTGGTCACCTTCTCCAATAGTAAGGTTACGTATGCAGCCCGTGAATGCGAGCATATCCTTCACATACCTCATCAAACTAATGGTTCAATGATCAAAATATAATAAATTAATGACATAAATAATAAAAATCTAAATTTTCCAAAAGCAATAAGTAAAATAAGACAAATTGAAAATATAAGTGACAATCGATGTAATTTATCCCTCTTTACTGTATTGTTTGATCACGGAACATAATTCAATGTTTTTTTCTGTAAAAAAAAAAAATCAAAGGGACCCAATCGAAAAAAGTTTTAAAGCCCAATAAAGAAGGCAAGCCTTAATCAAGAGTCCTAAAATGATAAAAAGCCGTCGTTTCATGAATCAAACGGACCAAAACACTATTTAACAAAATTCGATCAGTTGAGCCAACGAAATTTGATACGATTCAATCTGCAGAAAAAAAAAATTATAAGAAAAGAAAAGGAAAAAGTGGTTCGATTTTGATTTCGCTGAAGGGAAAACCGAAGAAACTCGTGGAGGAAAACATGCTTCAAATCAGACTCAGCAAAGGACCCTCCTCTGATGCCGGCGGTTCCGTCAAGCCATTGCCCGTGGACACGGTGACGGTGGCCTGCCCCGACCATCTCGTCCTCGCCGACCTTCCGGTTGCCAAGAGCATTGGCGCCGCTACCTCCTTATCCCTCGTGAAGACCGTCGGTCGTAGATCCCGCCGCCAGCTTGGCGAGCGAGTACATTTCTGCGTTCGCTGCGAATTTCCTATTGCGATATACGGCCGTTTGGTACGTTTTAATAATTAATATTTGTACTTTTTTTACCTTTTAATTAATTGATTGATTGCGAACGAGTAGAGTAAACAATGAATCAGATAACTTGAGCCAAATCTGTGAAAATTTGTTGTTAAAGATGTTATTTGTAAATTGAATAAGAAGTAGAAGTGGAATTGCTAGGTATTGAATGTCAAGTTCGGACGGAAGTTGAAAATTTGAAACAATTTTACTAGTAAGTAGATTTTCATCAATGGCTAATGGCTGCAATTGTTAAAAATTTATTGTTATGAGTTCCTTAATAAATTGGAATATGTTTTCTATATATGAAAATATATACTTTTTTTTCGTTTGCAGAGTCCCTGTGAGCATGCCTTCTGCCTTGATTGTGCAAGGAGCGATTCAATTTGCTATCTGTAAGTGATTACCTTTTAATTCTTTAATGCAAAGTAATGTTAAAAGTACTGTAGAATATTATATCTACTTTATCAATTTACTTCTTTGATGGTGTTCATGAGTAATAACTAATAACTGTCAGGATCAAATAGTTTATTGATTAGGGTTTCACTGGGAGCATGATCATTATGATGTGGAAATTTCTATGGTGTTTGTTTTTGGTGGAAGTCCAATTTTGGCTAATTCATGAAGTAATCTTTTATTCAGTTTAAACATAGGTAATTTGACATTGACAAAAGTTAATTTTTCTTATTCTTTTGCATAGTTGTGATGAACGTATACAGAAGATTCAGACAATCAAGATAATGGAGGGGATCTTCATATGTGCAGCTCCTCATTGTCTTAAATCGTTCTTGAAGAGGACTGACTTTGAATCTCATATCCATACAAGCCACACTGACCTTTTACAGCCTAATGCTGAGAAGGAAGATGGAAAAGAATCAGAGGTTCAGAGTGATAACCAACCTACTGGTTCAGATTCCACCGTCCGAGGTCCTCCAAGGCCTGTCATTTCTCCTGGTTCAAACCTGCAGCTCCATGATACTGAAGACAAAGCTCGTTGGCAGCAGCTGAGGGAACAATTGCCTCCGAGGCCGATGATGCCGAAGGGGTCACCAGCATTTGGTCAAGTGCAAAATTATCCATTAGAGCCCCAACTGGACAGTAACCAGCCCCCTGGTTTTGACAGGACTGGCCCTCACCACCACTTTCAGCAAGGGTTTGACAGGCAGGGCACCCCACAACCAGAATCAAGTCAGTTTTCAGACAAGTCTCAGGGACATTTATCTGAGAACCAGTTTTCAGAATACCCACCTATGCATTTCATGCAACAACCACCTAATTTTGCTATGCCAATGAATTCAAACCCCATGTTAACTCCATACGGTGTTCCTCCATTTCCAGCTGATGGGACTCAACCATTTTATGGTGCTCCCTATGAGATGGGTAGGCTGAGTTCAGCACCAGGTGCTGGTTCTGAGCAAGGGTCGTTTATGAATTTCCCACCAGGTCCAATTGTGGGTGTAAATTACCCTGCAGCTTATCCTCAGCCCTGGAATGGAGGGCAAACTGGTGTCCGATTTGAAGCTACTCCTGGTAGTCACATGACGCCAGACGGTTTTACAAATTATCAAGGTGATTATGGTCGAAGTCCTGGAGGTTTACCAATGATTCCTCCCCAACAATCAGCCAACAAAGGATTGGAAGCTGTGCAGGGAAGTAATGCAGTAGACCCTCGGTACAGTGTAGGTATATTGGCACCGCAACCCATGCAGGTTCAGCCACCACCTCCACCACATCTACTTCATATGTCACAACATAAACGAGGCAAGTTCCACCTCGGTTATATGGGTCGAGATGGCCAAGGGTTTGGTTGGCAGCAAGAGAACCGTGACGGCTTTGCAGGAGTCCAGGACTAGAAAATTGCTTGAATTTTTGTTCACATGTGATGTTTTCAGGTTTCCGATCTTTGATTAATCATTGTAAAGGGCTGACGATTTTCTCAAATTCTAAAGTGCAGTCTCCACCCTTTTATATTAGGATATCATCTTCTGGAACTTTTGCCATAGTAATAATGATACCCTCCATCATCTACAGTGATTCAGAAATATTAAATATTTTTGAAGGTATAAACACACATGTTAATAATTGTTGATCTGCCGCTGATCACCTACGAAAAACAGACTTGGTTTGTGGATAAGGTTACATTTTACATAGAGAATAGAGAAATAAAACTCAATGACTATTATTAGGGTTGTTCATTCGATTAATACGGTAGTCGACCGAGTCGAATTATTATTAATCGAATTAATCGATTTTTTTTTCTTTAACCGTTAATCGAACTGAATTTTTGTTTGAAAATATTAACCGAACCGAATAAATTTTGGTTAATTTTCGAATTAACTGAAATTTTTTAAAATTTTCTAATTTATATAAAAATTAAATATTTTTTAATTCAAAAAAAAGTTTACAATTAATTTAAATAATATATAATTATAAAATAAATTTTTTTATATAATTTTTTTAATTAATTAATATTGATTTAGGTTTAAAAGTTATTGGATCTTAAATTATTAATTGGGTTTTAAATGGTTTGGGCTGAGCCCATATATTATATATAATATATTTAAAATTTTAATTTTAATTTTAATTTCGGTTAATTAACCGATTTCGAACCGAATTAACCGCTTACTGAATTCTAAAAAATTTCTTAACCGTTAACCGACCAAACTAATTCGGTGACCGAACCGGATCGAACTAATTCGATTCGGTCGGTTAATTCGAAAAAATGAACACCCGTAACTATTATCATATTCAAAGTATATTTGATCTCAAGATTTAATTTTTATATTTATATTTAATATATACTTTTTTCAAATTGAAATAATTTTATAATTTTTTTAAATAATTTAATAATTTAAATAATATATTTTGGATTTTTAAAAAAATTAATGATTAAAAATAAATTAAAATAAAATTTTAGTTGCATGAATCGGGTAAAACATTATCTACCAAGTTTATGTACATTGACTAGGGGTGTTCGCAGTCGGTTTGGATAAATTTTTGGCTAAAAAATCATCCGATGCGAAATTATAAATGTTGGATGTTTGGATCGGTTTGGATGTTTCTAAAAAAAATACGATCCGATCCAATTAAGTACGATTTCATTAAGTTTGGATTTGTTCGGTTTTTGAATTCTACTTTTTCAAAATAATTCAAAGCAACAACACTACCTAAGGGGCCAAACAGTTTCACCTTTTTACATCCTAAGCTAACATCGATCTAATAAACACCGTGGATGAACATAAAAGGAACAATATCAGCTCCCAACCATAATAAATCCATCAAATTTCAATTCAATTCTCAACTAATTTACATAAATCATCAAAACAAACAGTAAAAAAAAATCAAAAAAAGAACAAAAAGTAACAAGAACCCAGATTCAATAAGACTGTATCTGCATCGAAAGTCGGAAAGTAAAAAAAATAGTTTTGGTATAGGAATGACTGGTGAGATAAGTTGCATATCACATTCATTCTTTGGTGGTTAAATCGCATATAATAGTGTCTTAAACAACTTTAAATTTTCTTACAACATGCATGCAACCAACTATTTTCTCTACATGTCATAGAGATTTCATAATCATACATGATGTCTGGAAAAGAACTAGACCTCAAGTATTAGCCTATTAAGCCAAAAAAAAAAGTAACACATATTCAAGCTCACTCATTACAAAAATATGGAGATATAACAATATAATCTTATCTATTTTCTTTCGAGGGGGCATATAGTGAGAAGCTTCACTAGTAAACTAATTCAGCTAGGTTGGAGATAAATACGATATAATCTTCTCTTTTCTTTTGAGGGGATTGGCTACTCTTGTAAATTAATTCTGCTAAATAGTAACTTAAAATAGCACCACATTCCTATAAAAAATAGCATCACATAAATCTTGCCAACATTAGACATGAAACATTAAAATAACTAAAATATGACCATAAACAACATACAACAGGGGGGAAAGAGGACTCAAGACAAATACACGTGTGTCTCGTAATTTATATAAAAGTACTATTAAAGCATATATAAAATCTAACAAAATTATGACATGATAAAATACTTGAAGTGTTGTGGTAACCAGTAGTAAGTTCAGCAGGGGTGTGATATAGTCCGGCACCACCAATAAATTCCACCAATTTTAGCCACCAACATAACAGAAGTTTGCTCATGTTCTTGGTATTTTTTTAGTATCTTTGTAACTTTCGCGAGAATGGCATCTACATGACAAATCAACCTACCACTGTACCATTCCTGCAAAAGATCATTTCACAAGACTAAAAATACAACACAATAGAAAAAATCAAAAAAAGAACAAAAAGTAACAAGAACCCATATTCAAATTGATGATATCAACTCAAATTCATTCCAATAGCATATTGTTCAAATTCTAAACCCCAAATAGACTACTAAAAGTTGTGCAATTGTTCAAATTCAAAGCATTCCAGAACAACAACCCAAGCCACAAGCATCCATGTTACAACAAATCACAATTTAGATAAAGAAAAAGTACAATAGACTCCAACAGATTCCAATACAACAACACTGCCATCACATTCAAAACAACAACATGATCCAAAAACAGCTCCAAACTACAGCTTCTAACAGCAACAGCTCCTAACAGCAGCAACTTCAAACAGCAACAGCTCCTAACAGCAGCAACTTCAAACAGCAACATGATCCCAAATAGCTCCAAACAACATGATCCAAAATCCACTACAAGTTTAAAGAAAAACATCCAATTAAAAAAATAATCAATATAACTATTATTAAGAAAAACAACCAATTAAAAATATTATACCAAATCAGCAACTAATTAGACTCTGCATCAGATTGCTCTTCATTTAGTTGCGGGATTGGGGTAAGATCTACAAATATTTAAAATATAACTAATTAGTATGATAAGTGAAAAACAAATGCACTACTATGAGGTACAATAAAAATACATAGCTCAAGCTTTTCTAAATCCTCCACGAGCTCTTCAACATTAGTTGATATTGGGGAGGATCGACACCAATTTTGGGTGCAAATCAAAGCCTCAACGGTCTTTGGTGTAAGAGAGCTCCTATAATAGTTAAGCACTTTACCTCATGTTCTAAAAGCAGACTTTGAAGCAATAGTAGACACAGGTATGGCCAAAACATCTCTAGCTAATTGACCAAGAATGAGATATTTGGTAGAGTCTATTTTCCACCAATTCAAAATTTCAAAATTAGGATTGTTTTTCTTCTCCAATGCATCCATGAGATACAAGTATACTTTATTTTTATTCAAATTCTCACGAAGATCCATGTCTTTTTCAAACTCAACAGCAAGTTCATCATCAATTGAATTAATGTTTATCCTTCATTTTTCATTAGATGATTGAACACAAGTTTCAAGCTACCATTGATTAGCAAAAAACCTATACTTCTCAAACATTTCATACAATCCCTCTTTCACCTTTTGACTCATAAATTCAACAATATCTTTCTCATAAATCTTGTTCATTCCCCACTCAACAAAGCGAAACTTATTACGAGGATTAAACACCACCACAACAAAAATCAACATATTTATATTTTTTCACATTCCCCTAATACTTATCATATTTAACTTTCATTTTTTCAACCATCATTCCAAGCATTAGATCACCACTTTCTATCATTTTTTTGAATGTAATCAAAGCCAAAATATGTTCATTGAAATATTGGGAAGAGGTAACATATTTCGTTGATAACTCTGTAAAAAGCCACATTTTGGGGGCCTTTTAACTTAAATTATTGAATGTTTAAAAGCTCATTTAGGACCATGTAGATGCATTTAGAAGCATTTAGTTGCATGTGGTGGATTTCGGTTTGCCGTGGCATTTTATTTTTACAGCGGTGCTACTTTATGGGAAAGGTAATTGTCTGATGATGTGCAGGTATTGAGAGCAAGGAAAAGAGGAAATAAAATGCCGTGACATAAGGAGATTGCTGAGCAAAATGAATTTTCCAAGTTCATCCGGCATTTCGAAAGTACTTAAAGTGCGAGAATATATTTTTGAAGCCAGCTGTATCCGACTGTCCGAGAGCTCTAACCGAGAAATCTACCTCGAAGATCCGCCTGAAGGGATCGGCGCTCTGCCCGCCGGTTCTACTGATGACGCCACCTGCCCCTACAGATCTTGTCTGTCCTTGGGCGTCTGCTACGGGATTATACCGGTCACTCATGTCAGCTACCTAGGCTGTTTAATCACCTGTCTTGCCTGACTCCCAAGCAAAGTAACCATGTTTTGGGAAAGTCAACTCTTAGTTCAAGGGTTAATTTTCCCCTATAAATAGAGGATGAAGCCACATTGTTAGGGACTTTGGTTCTACCCAGATTTGAGCTAAAAAAGTTAAAGAGAGAATGTCTCATCTTTCTCCGTCAATCCTATTTGTCGTGGCATTTCTCATTGACAAGCCAGAGGGAGTGTCGTCCTGAGCATCCGAGAGGAGCCAGTTCGCTAGGAGCAATGCTTGGTGTCCGAGGGAAGCATTGGGTAATGCACGTCAAAGGCTTTCTCTCCTCCCTTAGTTCTTTGCTTTCATATTTTGTTATTGGGTTGTAAGGAACGAATGATACTTGATTTGTGCTTGTTTATTTCGAACCTCACCATGAACTAATCCTATTTGGTGGGAGTTCACTTGGATGTTTAAGTTTTTATTTCAATGAATGGTTGTTTTGCTATGCTTTAATTTGTTTTATTTATGAAACTTAATGCTTTGAGGTTGTGGGAGCTATGAGAGTAGCATTTTCTTAGAAGGTGCTTAGGGTTTGAGAGAATGCCTTGGAAAAAATATCTTTAGTCTTCGAGAGAAGCTACGGATGAACTACATAAACAAAGGGATCTAGGAGTAACTAGGCCTAATCCACCTTAGAGATAAGGATAGGATTTCATTTGACTAAAAGGAGTAGAGCATAGCCGATAGGTTAGATGTTAATGCTTCCGTAAAAATGTATTGCCGAGACATATCCTGTTATCTGGACTAATAGG